GGCCAGATAATTCTTTGTTGTACTGGGGTAGAGGGCGTGCTGTACTGTGCACGTTGAAGGATGTTTAACAGCATTTCTAGACTCTACCTCCAGACACAAGTAGCACCCCCTGTCCCAGTTGTGACAACAAAAAATGTCTCTAGACATGGTGGGGGGGATCACCCCCAGTTGAGAACCACTGGGCTAGAGAGAAACCCAGGATCCTAGCCTGGGTCACAGAGATGAATCTAAGAAAGCTCTGAGTGAGACCTAAATGCACTCAGATTTAGGATGGGATGTTGGGCAGTGGGTCTTCTGGAGATAACAGATCCCAGCCCTGCCCTGACCAAGACGTCCCTGTGAGTTCCGCTCACCCATCACCATCTGCTTCAAGGGATCACTGAGCTCTGTCCAGGGTCCTCCACCTCGATAGGAAGAACGGTACTTCTCTGTCTGCCTGGATCCATCTCTGAGAGATGCATTGTACCTGTGGTCTGGACACTGAAGGTTTCTCTCTACACTGAGTGTGAAGCCACCTCCCCTTAGTCTATCATGTTTGTTCCAATTCTGGAGGACCCAGACACTTAGTGGTCACAGACCTCTTGTTTGAAATCATGGAATCAGGATGAGCTGAAAGAGAAAATCTGGCAAGCATTACTGGGAAGAAGGATCGAACCCTGAATCTCCCTTGATTCAGCTCTCAATGCCATCCTCCCTCTTAAGACTTTTATAAAAGTAAGCTTATAATCTGTCTTCCACAACCACCTTGTGCTAAACAAGAATAAAGTTAAGTAACTATGAGGTTGGGGGAAGGACTCACCTTCCCATGCCTGGATCCTCCGGCTCATACACACAGCCCTGAAAGAGAAGTCCTGATAAGATCAGCCCAAAGTTTAAGAGTTGCCTTCCTTTCTGGGCATGGTATGGACCTCTACCTTCTTCCTGGGACTCACCAAGGTTCAGCAGGGTAGTGAGAGTAGGAAACCTAATTCTGCAACCGTGCAGGCCCTCTGTGCCCTGCAGAGTTGAGCTGTGAAGGGACTGATGCTGGGAGGTCAGGTAGAGGTACAAGATGTGAGGAGCAGGGCCCACCTGACACCATGAGGCTGAGGTTTTAACACCTGTCTTCTTGAAGGAAGAGAGAATTTTTAAAAACTACTACTCCTAGGTCTTTATCTAAGCAGTGTGGAGAATGAGGGAGGGTGCAATATCCTGAAGAAATTACGCCAGACAAGAAGTCTTGCTGGTTCTCCATCTGCAGCAGGGTTTTCAACCTCAGAACAATGGAACCACTCTGTTGTGGGGACTGTCATGTGCATTGTAGGATGCTTAGCAGCATCTAACCCATTAGAAGCTAGTAGCACAACTAGTTGTGGCCAAAAACATCCAGAATAGTAAAATCCATAGAGACAGAAAGCAGACTGGTGGTTTCCAGGAGATGAGGGGGAAATGCAGAATGATTGATTAATGGGTATGGGATCTCCTTTTGGGGTGATGAAAAAGTTCTGGAACTAGATAGTGGTTATTGTTGTACAGTGAATATACTAAATACTAAATATCCCTGAATTGTACATTTTAAAATGATTAAAATGGTAAATTCTGTGTGTTATGCCGCAATAAAAAAAAGTCTCCAGGTATTGCCAGATTGGGGGCAAAATTGTGCTCAGTTGAGGGCCACTGTCTTATTTGAAATTAATGAATGGCTAGACCGTAGACTGCAGGGTTTGTCAACTTCAGCACTATTGAAGTTTTGGGACAGATCATTCCTTTTTTTCCTATTGAGGTAACATTGGTTTATAACATTATATAGGTTTCAGTGGTCCGTTATGATTCGACTTTTGTATGCACTACAGTGTGCTCACTACCAGAAGTCTAGTTTCTATCCATCACATACAATTGACCTCTTTTACCCTACTCTCCTTTCCCTGTTACCACCAATCTGTTCTCTGCATCTATGTGTTTTTGTTAGTTTTCTTTATACTCCACATACGAGTGAGATCATACAGTGCAGTCACGAGCCTCATAACGATGTTTCAGTCAACAATGGACCATATATACAATGGTGGTCCCATATGATTACCATGTAGCCCAGGTGTGTAGTAGGCTGTACCACCTAAGCTTTGTGTAAGTACACTCTATGACCACACAATGATGAAATTCCCTAACAATGCATTTCTTAGGATGTATCCCCATCATTAAGGGATGCATGACTGTATTTGTCTTTCTCCATCTGACTTATTTCACTTCACATAATACCCTCAAGGTCCATCCCTATTGTCACAAATGGCAAGATTTCATCTTTTTTATGCCTGAATAGTATTCCATTGCTATGTATACCATATCTTCTTTATCCATTCATTCATTGATGGGCATCTAGGTTGCTTCCAAGCCTTGGATATTATGAATAATGCTGCAGTAAATGTAGGGGTGCATACATCTCTTTTTATTTAAAAATTCAGAAAAAGTATTTTCTTTCAATTATTTTATTGGGGTCATATTGGCTTACAAGATCATGTAAATTTCAGGTGTACATCACTATATTTCCATTTCTGCATGAGACTGTATCATGTTCACCACCAACAGTCCAGTTTTTACCCATTGCCATACCTATGTGTCCTTTTACCCCTTTCACCTTCCCCACCTCCTTCTCATATATCTTTTCAAATTAGTGTTTTCTTGTTCTTTGGATAAATACCCAGAAGTGAAATAGTTGGATCATATGGTAGTTCTATTCTTAATTTTTTGAAAACCTGCATAGTGTTTTCCATAGTGGCTGTGATATCTTTTCAGATATATCTCCTCAGGCAAGGAAAACAAAAGAAAAAATAAATAAATGGGACTACATCAAACTAAAAAGCTTCTGCAGAGCCAAGGAGATCATCAACAAAATGAAAAGATGATCTACTGAATAGGAGAAGATATCCATACATATCATATATCCAATGATGCAAATCATGCATACAATAAGGGGTTAATATATAAAATATATTTTTTTAAAACTCATACAACTCAACGAAAAAATGAACAACCTGATTAAAAAATGGGTAAAGGATATGAACAGACATTTCCCAAAAGAAGATATACAGATGGCCAACAGACACATGAAAAGATGTTCAATATCGCTAATTATTAGGGAAATGCAAATGAAAATCACAATGAGACATCATCTCAAGCCTGTCAGAATGGCTATTATTAAAAAGACAAGACATAACAAGTGTTGGAGAGGATGTGGAGAAAAGGGAACCCTGGTACACTCCTGGTGGGAGTGGAAAGTGGTGCGGCCACTATGGAAAACAGTATGGGCCAGATCATTCTTTATTGCAGGAGACTGTCCTATGCACTATAAGATGTTTAGCGGTATCCCTCGTCTCTACCCATTAGATGCCAGGAGCACCCCCGGTTGTGACAATAAAAATATCTCCAAGTATTTCCCAATGTCCGGTGGGCGGCAAGATCATTCACGCTGAGAGCCACCAATCTAGAGTCCTAAACTCTGCTGTTGTACCCCAAATTCCATAAGACTTTAAAATTTCTTCACAAAGTGAACTATAAGACAAGCCACAGGCTTTATAATCTGAAAATCGTTGGTTTTAAGTCTCAATTGGCTTCTTAGAGGCTGTGCCATATCAGGGCATTGAGTTCTCTCACTGCATTTCCTTATTTACGAATATATAAAATATGATTTTTTTTCCTGGGAAAAACCTGATGCAAAGTTTCAATACAATGCATTTAAAATATCCAGCAGAGGGTGTGAACCAGATGTTCTCAATCACAACCTCCCTCCACTATGTTTGTATCTTTTTTTAAAAATAAATCTCACTCATGAGCTTTGTACCTAAATAGAACCCTGGATTTTTACTCAGCCTCACCTCTAATAACTTGATAGCCTCTCGTGATCCATCCTCGATTCCTCCACCATATATTCCCTTGAAATGCTTGTCTCACCGCATCCCACTAAACACTGTTATCCAAAAGCCTTATTTAAGTTAGGATCATATGAGTGTAACCCCAAATACTGCAGCAACCTTGAGAATTTCAGCAAATTTATCTTAATAAGGGCCTCCAAGGGATGGCAATGCCAAATAGTAAGAGAAATTGGTTCCTTCCTGGTATCATTGAGTGACTATGTTAAGCCATACTACCTCCATATTTAGTTAATAAAGAATTGTGTCAATTTGTGGCCTTTATCTTCTACTTGACTAATTCTCTTTCAACTAACCAATGTGATGTTTAACCCATAAAATGTAGCACAGAAGGAAAAATGTGAAAGAGATTGAGATATGGAAGATAAAATGAGGAAACAATATAGAAAATAGAAAAGAGACAATAAATCAAGAGATGAGGGCTGAATTTTTTTCCAGAATTCTGAATCTCTAGCAGCATAAAAAGAAATAAAATTAAAAATAGGAAACAAGAGACAAGACTATCTCAACAACAGCCAGAATGAAAGGATGATTGGCTACAAAGAAACAGCAATTAGATTGGGAGCAGATAACCCAACAGCAATGAAGGCCAAGACATTATTTCAGCTTTCAACCTAAATTGCTAACCATAGGCCATTGTTTTTGTAACTGGGACCTTGATAACATCTGCATCTCAATATTCTCATTCTAAAAGTAGTCACATCACCTACCTGTCCAGTTTGGTGGAAAAATTGAGAATATATAGATCACTCACTTTTGTCAGTGCCTAGGAATTAGTGCTAAACAGTGATTTTGAATTAATTTTTAAAAGAAAGTTCAAGTGATTTTGCCACCTTTTCTATGAATTACCAGCAATAAGTTGTGAATAACTCAGGAAAAGGCTGTGTTTTCCATGGCAATGGATTACACACACACAGAATCATTGCAAGTTTAAAGAGAATAGTGATGTGGTCATATTTATGCCTCATCAATAACAGGATATATTAGAATGAGAATTGGCAAGCTATGGTCCATGGGCCAAATCTGGTCCATTGCTTGCTTTTGTAAATAAAGTTTTATTGGAACACAATCATGGCCCTTCATTTATGTATTGTCTATGGCTGTTTTCATACTACAATGGCAAAGTTGAGTGGTTGTGACAGAGACCACATAGCCTACAAAACCTAGAATATTAGCTATCTGGCCCTTTACAGAAAGGAAATTATCAACTCGTGTTAGAATATCATAAAATAGATTAAGGAAGCTACAAACCATAATGATCAAGTTGACTCATCAGGCAACTACTATGTCAGGCCAAGAAATACCTGAGCTATGGCAGAAAGAAAGAAGAAATCAACATAACCATCTATGAACTTTAACATTCTTTCCTAGGCTAAGTATGTCAAGCATATAGTTTACTTTGAGTTGGCTCTTGGGCATATTAATAAGCGCAGCTTCAAACAAAGTGCTTTACCTTTTATTATCCTTATATCCTTGTGAAAGATAAAACATAACAAAGTGTGTATGTGACTTGTACAGAATTTACTAGAAACCAAAGAGTGAAAGCCAGAGCTAAATTCTACATTTTGACCCAGGAATTAACATTTGGCCCTCTGTTCTTCATAAATGAGACATCTTAGAGAAATCAGATTGCCCCCTTTGTGAGATATAATTACTAGAGAATCATGTCAGGGCGCTCAGGAGAAGAAGTCACAACATGAGGATCTGGTTGTTCTGGCATTATTACATTCAATCGTCAATTTTGGATTGCTGTCCTTCACATCTTTCAACAGCTTCTGTACTTCCACACTAGATTCATCAACCTTCAACCTGAGTGTCTTTAAGGGGCCATCATTCTGTTTCAAAGCCTCAAAGAGCATCATTATTCCATTCTTCCCCAAGACATTCTGGCCCAGGTCCAGTGTTTCCAGCCTCTGATTGCTGATGAGAGCAGATGCAAGGCCCTGACAACAGGAAGGAGTGATGGAACAGCCCCAGAGCCTGTTGAGAAAGAGGACAGAATCCCACTCATTCACTGAGCCACTTCTTATTTAGACCCTATTGTGTTGCCAGGCACGTTCTTACTTGCTGAGGACCTAGTAGTGAAGAAACGAGAAAAAGTTATTTTCTTCATGGAGTTTATTTTAGCGACATGAGACATCAGGACATTCTATTAAAGACAGTGGATAATGGTATTATAATAAAATGAACAGGATTATGGTAAATTGGCCATAAAATGATTAGGTAGGTTTATGGTGGTCAGTGAATTCCTCATTGGGAAGGTGATAAAAAATAAATAAAGGAAGTTACAAAGTGCGACATTATGGTAATTGGGGAAGGAAGCCAGTGTAGCTGAAATACTGAGCTAAGGGGAGGTAGAAAGAGTGGCTCATAACTAATAAGAGGACCCCATAGGATCTTGTAGGCTATTGTGAAAACCTTAAGATTTTATCTGCAGTGATAAGAGGAGCTTTTGAAACAAGGGTGTCATGGTCTGGCTTGCAACCTGAAAGGTACCTCAGGGTGATGGTCTGAGAACAAACTTCAGGAAATCAAGAACCAAAAGCAGTAGTCCAGTTCAGAGACTATCCAACAATCCATGTGAGAGTTGGTGAGTTTTAGCAATGGAGAGTGTTAGCAATAGAGGGCGCTAGGTAGTCATCGTCTAGGTATCTGGAAGGAGGTGCCTCAAAAGGGTTTGAGTGTAAGGTGTGAGATGGTAGAAGTAAAAGATCAGAAGCCTTGCGGTCAGTGAATAGAAGGATTGGACTGTTTTCTTTTCGACTCTGCAGCAAGTTGAGCTAATGACACTCAGTAATGCATGATATGTTATCATTGCCTCCATTCCTCACCTACTTTTCCAAGAGCTCCTTCTAAAAGATGCCTTTGTCCATGGAGGACGGAGGGAGGCACCAATGAGAGTAGATCCAGCTCATGCCAGCTTATGTATAGCCTACTGAGCTGACTCAAGTCACAGTGACCCCTCAACCATGTGCCCTTGAGCACACAGCATCTGCCCATCTTCATGATTTGTCTCTAACCATCCTTCTGCTGCTCTTTGGCACTATGATAAGCACTGGAGGTACAGAAAATAGATTCAATTTCTCTCTAAAAATTTACAATGGGTCAATGGATTAACAAATTGTGCTATGCCCACACAAAGGGATATTATTTAGCCATACAAGGAATGAAGTACTTACATGTGCTTCAATGTGGATCAACGTTGAAAATATTATAGTAACTGAAAGAAGCTCAACAACAAAAAATATTGTATGACTCCATTTATATGAAATACACAGAACAGGTAAATCCATAGAGACAGAAATCAGATTTGTGGTTTCCAGGGGTTGAGAGGATGAAGAGTGACAGTCCATAGGTCTAGAGTTTCCATTTGGATGATGAAAAAGTTCTAGAAGTAGATAGTGGTGGTGGTTGAACAACATTGTACATATATTAAATGCCATAGAATTGTATACTTGAAAACGGTTCATTTTAATTAAAAATAGGAATACCACATGAGCCAGCTTTCCCACTACTGAGTATCTATCCAAAGAACATGAAATCAATAATTCAAGAAGAGTTATGCACCTCTATGTTCATTGCAGCATTATTCACAATAGCCAAGTCACAGAAGCAACCCAAGTGCCCATCAATGGAAGAATGGATAAAGAAGATGTGGTATATATATATATATACACACATACATATACATACATACAATGGAATACTTCTCAGCCATAAAAAAGATAAAATCATGCCATTTGTGACAACTTGGATGGACATTGAGGGTGTTATGCTAAGCAAAATAAGTCAGACAAAGAAAAACACCATATTATTTCACTCATGGGGAAGATAAAAGAAACACATAGATATGGAGAACAGATTAGTGGTTAACAGAAAATAAAGGGATGGGGGAGGGCAAAAGGGGTAAAGGGGCACGTATGCATGGTGATGGATAACTAGACTATTGGTGGTAAACATGATGCAGTCTGTAGAGAAACTGAAATATGATAGTGTACATGTGAAAGTTGCACAGTGTTATAAGCCAATATGACCTCAATAAAATAATTTTTAAATGACATTTTATGCTATGTGAATTTCACCTCAAACTTTTAAAAAGTTACAGTTCCAGTGACTGGGCAGGACAATACTACAATTTATTGAGAGTAGAGAATATTGCAATAGGATAGTTAAAGAAACTGTGACCTATCAAAACTTGTTTGTTCTTCCACATAATAACCAAGGCAAGAAGCAAAATACTAGATAACCTGCAAACTACAGGGTCTAAGTGCTCTCATCAGGGAAAAAAACAGTAAGAACAGAGACCTTGCCGTGGAGAAGAATTGTGTGTGTTCTAAGAACTGAGAAAGAAGCCAGTTGAGGGATGTACACCAAGGTAGGAAGAAAAGTGTGAGATGAGGTTAGAGAGACAGGAAGGGGGTCAGTCATAGCGAACACTCTAGACTTGTTAACAAATATGGATTTATATGCTTATTACATAAAAGTTTTTATAAACGAGGTTTACAAGATCAAAGTAACTCAGTAAATGCATTAACTGTGCTGTTAAGAGGATGAGTCCTATAGAGGAATTGTCTGTTCCATGAGGTAAAAACAGAATACCAGAAGTCACAGCTAATAAATATCAGATGATACACGAACCATAGTCTAATGTCAATGCCCCTATTCAATGCCTTTGCTATGGTGCTGGATCCTTGTTCAGTGATCTAGAAAGATGAATCCCAATCTGTAGATACCATGGATTTGCTTTCCAGCATGTTCTCCAACTTCTAATTCAGGGGAGCTCAAACTTGACTGAATATTGGAATTATGTGGAATATCTTTAGAAATTCTGATGCCTGGATCCACTTCGCCTAGATTTAATCAGTCCAGGGGAAACCCAACCATCAAGAATTTTAAGTGTCCCAGATACAGACAAGATATAAGACAAAACTATCGTATATATGTTCCAGTGTTCTTTCTGATCTCTGCAAGGCTAAGGAAGTATTTACCTGACCCAGATTCTCTTTCCATTAGGTTTGTAGTTGCAAAGTAGGTGGCATCAATGAGATGCATTTGACTGAGACTTGGAAGAGGGAAGTGATGCAGAGCTCACCATCCTGGTGGAGCCATTGCATTTCCTGGGGGTAGTATCCATCTACAGTTTGCTGGGTATTGAGCTGGGGCAGGCCCCCTGTATCCCCTTCAATCACTGGATCCCAGAAGAAGCAGTGTATTCCTGAAATCCACTTCACTGGAGGCCATATCCACCTATATCCTGCTCCTCCAGGCCCTCTGAACGACTCCTTAAGCACCCAGTTACCTGTATTCAATTGCTAAAGGGGCTTTCTCCTAAACTTGGAACAGGAGTGACACCATTGCAGCCTACCTTCCAAAATATCTCAGAGATTACATATTTCCAAAACATTTTAAAAATGAATAAAAAGTACCTACCCCAGGTATTTTAGGTTACAATTTGGCTTCTTCAAAGCCTCACAAAGAAACCATAATCCAGTGGCTATGGGATTGAGACCCAGGTCCAGGTTTGTTAGGCTGGAGTCTCCTTGGAGAAGCTTTGAGATAAGTTTGCAGCCACGTCTGGTGATGTTGCAATGCCACAACCTATGAGGATGATCATGAGAAGAGAAGTCTATTATTCCTCTGTGACTTATGCCCTGTGAAGTGGTTGCTACTTCCAACACCATCTTCTACTTCAAGCCATATACTTTCAGGCAAGCTTGTACATAAAAAACCTACAAATGGAATGATAATTACATCATTTCCACCCTGCCTATGTGGTAGAGAATTAAACTGGCCTTTGTCTGCCACCTTTTATCATGGAGAAACAGATATACATCTCAAAAGATACAGATTTTCCTAGAACAGCAGCATACCATATAGATCAAGAACTCAGACTCTAGGTTCAGATAGACCCAAGACTGAATAAGCCCTGCTTATTTTCTGCATGGTTAGATCACTGGGATTTCACTCTCCCTGTATTTTTATGTTTTATTTCAAGTCTTGGATTTAATCGTCCCAGCAGAATTGTGGTACACCAAAAGTCCAATATTTCTGATATCTTAGTGGCTATGTTTCTAATTTAAATGCTATAGATTTTCCTACAAGCTTAGGCTTCTACTAGTCCTCCTGGTTTGGAGGCCAGACCACAGAAGGATGGCCACGTGGTACAGATAGGCAGGTGGATCTGCAATCAACGCTAACAGCCCTGTGCGCTAAGCACAGCATAACAGCAACAGAGGCTGCAGAACCTGAAGCAACATGACAAAGAAGACGGATAACTGGACCAAAAGATGTCATGCTTTGTCTTACGTGAAACCCCAAAATCATATGGAAACCTGGAGGGTTTGGGGACGGGGCCTAAAACAAAGTCTAACATTAAGTTTACAGTCTACAAAATGAAGGCTTGGTCCAACATTGACCTTATATAGAAAGTAATGATAGTTGACAACTCAGTTGATAGAGGGGGCTTCATACCTACTACACAGTAATGACCATGCATGCTAAGTGGTTAAGCTTTGGCTTTCTAATTAGTAAAACTGAAATAAAGGTAACTATCACATATAGTTGTAAGGATTAAAAAAGTGATTCTTGTAAATTTAGTAGAGTCTGTGATACACAGTAAGTGGTTAACAAGCATTGGGCATTTTTCTTTTTTGTTCTTTAGATGCCTAAATCAATTCTAACTTTAAAATAGGGCTGTCTATATAGCAATATCATTTAGGAAATTTTACATTCTTCTAATGAATGCTGTGTGGGTAGAGCTATGATCTTTTCCTTTTCTCTATCTGCCACTATAAACTAAATACCTGTTTCTCCTTTTCAGCCTTAAACAATTGTGGCCTGTCTGGATTAGGTATATCCTAGGTTAAGGCAGATTTTCTAGAACCAGCTAGAAGCCACAGGACAAACTGACAGATGGTAGTTTTAAAGGAGAGCAAGAACCCCAGAGAAATAAAAACCAGATAAAACTTCTGAACAGAAATCGGTCTCCAACTCTACACAATTTCTTGAATGTTACCCTAACTATGATTCCAACATGGACAGGTAGTTCATGCTGAGCTTGTTCCCATGTAACAAGGGTCAACAAACTACAGCCCATGGGTCAAATCCAGCACACTACCTGTTTATAAATAAAGTTTTATTGGAACACAGCCACACTCCTTCCTTTACATGTTCACACTGGCAATGGCAGAGTTGAATAATTGCGAGAGACACCATATGGCCCACAAAGTGGAAAATCGTGACCATCTGGCCCTTTGCAGAATAAAGAGAAATGTATTGAACCCTACCGTATAACTTGATCCATTCCCAAGTGCAGGAAGAAGTATGTCATGTAAACTTTAAGAACACACACAAAATATCAGAGCTGAGAACCAATCGCCTATCCCAAATTCTCAGAACAGGAAGAGGACGAAAGTAAAACCTGTTCTGAAAGACATGCAAATATTTACATCTGTTTCTACCTGTTCTTTCCCCAGCTCATACCAGGGTCTTGCCAGTTTCATTCAAGTAGAATTATTAAGTGCTGTCATTTCTGTCCTACTTGAATCCAGGTATGTGTGTCCATGTACACACACACACACACACACACACACAGCCAGCAGGGACTTACACCAGGGTCTGTAGTTGACATTCAGGGTAACTCAAGCCCTCACATAGAAGTTTCACCCCACCATCCCCAAGTTTGTTGTTGGCCAAGCACAGGTATGTCAGCCTCTGGTTGACAATCAAAGTAGAAGACAGCTCCTTACAACAGGCTTCAGTAAGATGACAGTTTTCCAACCTGCAAAAGCACCACACAAGTGGTAAGACAGTGAGAATACTTCCAAAATCCAACCTTCTGGGCTGACAGCCCTTCTTGTTAATTCTCTTTCTCTGTCTTGCACCAGTGACCAAAGCCTGAAGGACCAGGAATGAGAGAAGAGCAAGCAAAATGCATAAATCATCTGCCTGGGACCATAAGCGGGAACTAGGTGTTGACATCAGTAGGAGGTCCCACATGAGCTGCCCCATAAGTCCAGAATTAACATCACTCTTCTCTATGTGGCCCCAGGCTTAAAATGGAGATGGTCCATGGGAGCAGATGAGGGACTTACGACAACTTCTGCAGGAAACACTTTGGGTGTCTCAGAGTCGTACACAGCAATTTGACACCCTCATCTAGGAGCTCACTGGCTGTGAGGTCCAGGCATCTCAGGGACTGGTTGATTCCAAGGGCCAAGGAGGAATCATCCCACTTCTGAGCTGCATCACAACAAGATCCCAACCTGAGGGATAAATGGGGGCAAGTCATTCTTCTGGGGTGACACAGAGACTGTATCAGATTTTGCTTCCCTGAAAATTACATACTTCTTTTCCATCTCATTCTACTCCAATATGTGTTCAACACTGGCCTGAACTATTGGAGAGAGTTGATCTCCTTTGCTTCTTCACATATCCCCATGGCCATTTGATCAACACCCAGCCTCATCTTTAAGAGGAAAAAATCTGTACTAGAATCTGTATGAAGTTGCACCAACATGCCTGCTATTTCTCAAAGTCCGCTTTTTATCTGATCACTTTCTCCCACCTGAGTCTGTCCTAATCCCACTTAGAATTAAATATGTGATTCCATAGGGGGAAAAAAATGCCTGATACTCAAAATTCAACTTCATAAATTATTAGGGAATATGCAAATTAAAACAAGGGGACAATTTGACACTTGGCAGCCAGGTCCAAAATTTGTTGAGTTTAAGTGTTGCAAGGATAGTGACAATTGGGGGCTCCTGTTGATGGGAATATGAATGTGGTGCTGTTTTGGAGAACATTGAGGCAAGTAGTCCCTTACATTTGTCTCTGAAACCCAGCTGCTCTTATAAACACAGGTCAGAGTGGACAACCCTAGGACAAGCTTGTTTGACTCATGGCTCTGTTTCTCAATATCTTCAAAGTCTTTGCAAGTTTCTTAACCTTTGTAATATTCTTTTCTCCTCCAATCTGTACTTTGAGGAGAAACAATCCCTTTATGTCAAGCAAATGAAGGAGATAATCAATCCGTATACTGTGCGTATTAGAAAGTACTTATAAGTAAAATTGGAGTTCTTAAAATTAGTATCTTTCTTACCTTGGAGCTTAACCTATAACAAGAACCTTATAAGTTTACTTAAGTAATTGGAATACAGGTGAAACATGAAGGGTCTCAAATCAAGTGGCCATAAATAGGCGATTCTGTATCAGCCATTTGTCATTTTGGAGCCTCAGTGTATCCAACTCAGAAACAGCATTAGTCAGAACTTTAGAGCAACAGACATTTTTCTAATTAAATGAAAAATAGCACCATCAGAATTCATCAATAATGGTAAGAGCTACCATTAGTGTCTGGTGCCTATGCAATGCAGTTCACATCCCATGTTCCATTCATTCAATTCTCAAAATCCAATTTTATGGATGAAGAAACAGCTCAAGATCATATAGGTCATAAATATCAGAGTGAGGATTTGATCTCATTCCCAAATCCAAAAACCTGTACCACTAGCAAGTACCTCAGATTGCTACTCAACTAAGTAGAGAAGAAAACAAAAATGGTACCCTAAAGATGGTGATGATAATCAGAGCACTCGTCGGGATCACTCACAGCGGAATCTCTTAAACCAATGAGCTACCAGGAACCAGGACACTTGATGCTTCTACAGTGTTAGTGAGTGGCCAGGTAAGGTTGATGGCTGCACTGAATCACAACAGGTAGGCAACATGCCGTCTGAAATACCAAGTCCCTAAGCTAAAGGATGACTCAAAATTCTGGGTGTTTCTTTGCACTCAGTATTTGGTATTCAGTGCATTAAGACAAGCTGGCTGGGGGAAGAATAGAGGTTGAAACCCCACCCAGGTTCTATTTGAGAATATGTTCCCCTCTTTAGCATGGCATCCATTCAGAGTGGCTACCATTTTCTTTCTAGTTCACCCAGCAGCACAGCATAGCTCACAGCATCCTCTCGATGCTGAGAGCAGCAATGACTGTGACATCTACCTCAGATACTGTAGGTTACATCTTGAGTGTTTCAGCATCTCACACAACAGCAGCAGCAGCATCTTATCAGTGTGGACATCACCTTCCAGGATCAGGTGTGTCAGAGTCTTCTTACCAATGAAAGCCAGACACAAGTCTCGATAAGCATCAGAAGGGGAGATGTTTTTAATCCTAGAAAAATGAGAAGGGATTCCATTTTGAGAGTGCTATAGATAGTAGATGCTGTGAACAGATAGTGAGATGAGATGCCACAGGCCAGGATGGAGAGGAGGAGATGGTCTGGTCAAGCTTACCAAGTCAATGGAGTCATAGCTGCAAGGAAAAAAAGGAGTGACTACCAGTGGAAATAGTATATGGTGATGGGAGGGGCGATGGAATTGGATAGTGAAGGGCTTGTCTTTGCTCATGCTGCTCTTCAGATTGAATATCCCTATCTTTATATTTGTGTTATATCCTTTATTTCCTTCAACACTCAGCTCCCATATTTCTCCCCTCCCCCTCAGTACCTGCTGACTTTTTGTACTAAGAGAAATCACTTCATACTACACCCCCATGTAGTCATCTGCATTTTCACAAAGCAGTTTGTTTAAGGCTACAATAAGTTATGATACATAAGTTAACAAATAAATTAGACTCCTTGAAGGTATGGACCATTGAGTTGTTCTTTGTTTTCTATTTCCCCATCTAACATGATTGTGGGATTTTAAATGGGATTAAAAGAAATCTTAAGTAGAATATAACATGGATTTTCTGTAATCAAACTCTAGGCCTCAAGAAACAATTCAGCACAAAAAAAAATAAGATTTTCCCAGCACCTGACTGCACCACCTTCTTCAGAAGAAGAATCAACCAACCTCGTGTTATGCAGTAATGAACCAGCTCGTAAGTTTTCCTGCAGGCATGGTAGGAAATAACTGTGGAAAGGACTTTGTCAGGGCTTCTTTTAATCAACACCTGAATTACTGCCTCTCCTACCACCCTCTTTCAGACCCTCACTTTCACTAGTATTTTTTTTGTTACAGCTTTTTAACCTGTTTTTATCTACTACCTCCAAACCAGGCAATCCATCCCCCCATTGCGAAATCCTCTTCTCCCTAAACTCACAATTGGTCTTACAAGACTTGAGCCTTCATTTTTAGATAGTAAATGTTCTTGTGGCTCAAAAGAAGCTTCAAAATTAAATTTCAGCAGAGAGAGATCCGGGATAAGGGGAGTGCCAGCTGTTCAGAATCCCTGCTTAAGTTGTTCTTAAGTCTTGGAATAAATTAGACGCGTGTTCTCATTTCCCTTTTCTCATGCAACACCTCACAGAACTAGAGCAATGTAAAGTTTTCAAAGTCATGCAGAAGAAATTTCCACCTTTCCTGGCAACAGCCTATCGTTAGATTGTGTTGCTTTGTACAGACAAGTTCCGTGGCATTCTGAGATAAGTGAGCTACTTGTCACCTGACATAAGCAGGTACAGTCAATTGATGTTTGGCACAGCTATTTGTTCCCAGTAAATAACACTACATTTTCAGTGGCTTGATTAAGCCTTCTAAGGCATCTACAACCATTTATAGTTAAGCCTTAATTAAGCCTTCTAAGCATACCGGTCTGGGGGAAAGTTTCAGCAATGTATCTGTATGTAATTTTGAACAGAACTGAAAGTTTATCCCTTGAATATGTATTGGTCTAAAAGGATGTCCTAATAGTCACCTGCCCAGGTGGCTCACATCATGATTATCATCTGCCACAATCTACCTTACCCAGACTCACTTCTTGATCCCCTTCCACACACTAGTTAAAAGTTCACCATTCCTCACCAACACTGTTATTCGAGTATTTTAAACTTTGCTCTCTGGAATATTTCCCCAATTCTCATTCATGTCTCCTTCTGACATGCATGTGCCTGTATTTCCTACAAGCTGAGTTTTAAATACATCTCATAGCAGCTATATAACTGGCCAAATTTCATGACAATGCCTCAATATAACATACGATTCCACCATTAGGCATACTTAAGGATAGGAATCATTTCATTTCTGAGCACCTGGCTTGTTGGAGCCAGAGGAGGCATTCAACTACTGCTCCCACCTTAAAAACATCTGGGGATCACCATTGGAGGATTAGCTTCTACTTACACCACTTTCTGGAGGTGACAGGTGACACGGGTTATCTGCTCACAAAGAATCCTCACTGAGGAATGACTCAGGAAGCTCTGACTCACATCCAGAAAGCTCAGGTTCTTGTTTGAACTGAACACAGAGCAGAGATCTGTCCAGAGAGGGAGAGAGCGATGGTCGCACTGTGACCTACGAGGAAGTGATAGAGAACATATTCAGAGCACATATGGGAAAGTAACAGGAGTCCTTAGGCTGTGCTGCAGAGGAAACCACCAACAAAATGAAAAGGGAATCAACGCAATGGGAGGAAATATTTGCAAACCATGTATCTGATCAGGGGTTAATATCTAAAATATATAGAGAACTCATATTACTCAATAGAAAAAAATCTGATTAGCAAATGGGCAGAGGAACTGATTAAACATTTTTCCAAAGATGACATACAAATGGCCAACAGGTACATGAAAACGTGTTCAGCATCACCAATCAGGGAAATGCAAATCAAAACCAGAATGAGATACCACTTCATATCTGTGAGAATGGCTATTATCAAAAAGACAAGAGATAAATGTTGGAGAGGATGTAGAGAAAAGGGAACCCTTGTGTACTGTTGGTGGGAATGTAAATTGGTGCAGCCACTATGGAAAACGGTATGGAGGTTTCTCAAAAAATTTACAGTAGAACTACCTTATGATCCAGCAATTCCACTTCTGGGTATCTATCCAAAGAAAAAGAACTCACTAAATTGAAAAGTTATCTGCACCCCCATGTTCATTGAAGCATTATTTACAATAGCCAAAACATGGAAACAAGCTAAGTGTCCACCAATGGATGAATGGATAAAGAAGGTGTGAGATATATATATATATACACAAAAAAACACACAATGGAATATTATTCAGCCTTAAGGAAGGAAATCCTGTCATTTGGGGCAACATGGATGGATTTTGAGGCTGTTATGCTAAGTGAGAAAACTCAGAGAAAGACAAATACCATATGTCGTCTCTCATATGTGGAATCTAAAAAAACACAGGAGAACTCATAGAAACAGAATAGATTGGTGGTTGCCAGAGGCAGAGGGTGGGCAAAAGAGTGAAGGTGTTCAAAAGGTGCAAACTTCTAGTTATAAGATAAATAAATCCCAGGGATGTAAGATACAACATGGTGACTATAGTCAAAAGAAATTGGTAGGGAGGGAAAATATGTAAAATGTTAAGAGTGTCTAGGGATATTCTAAACCCATTCCCCATATGAACACTACAACATTAAAACAAAATAAGGCTCCAAGCCCCCATTCCTAATCTGAACATCATGTTCCCATTCTAAATGGTGAGCTGGTGGGAAGAAATTCCAGCAAGAAGCAAGTTATGACCCTAAACCACAGGGCACAGGAGACTGTCCTCTTCCTAATGGAGCATGAGATGAGGCTCAAGATGGCAGAGCTGGGAGAGTAAGAAATAAGAGTTCTTACCTCTCAACCTGAGCATCCAATTCTGATTCAGTATCATTCTCCAGGAATATCCCCTTTTCTACCTGCAGTGAAATTTTCTGTAAGTTTTCACAATGTTTAAGGCAGAAAGAAGACTGCATCATTTCAAATGTATTTGTCAAGTGAATAGAGATTTCTTTGACATAGCTCATTGCATTCTTCACAAGCTGCTCCTCCTGAGATTCATAAAGACAGTACAAAACCTCCTTCATGTCTGTCACTGAGGACAAGCGTTTATTTTTATTGGACTTTACCCTGAATTCCAGTAATTCTTGCTTGACCTTCCTCGACACTTGACAGCCAAAAGTTGTCTCGAGCTCCCCGGCTCTCTTTTCGTTCAAGAGGCCAAATAAGAAATACCCCACGTGGGTCAGGCTGGGGTTCTTGAGTCTTTCTTCCTTGGAGAGCAGCTTCTGCACACCCCCAATGTCCCACCTGCAGCTATCCCCATCTTCTTCCTCCTCTCTCTCCAGAACATAGAACAAGGCAGCAAGAAACTGCTGGACGCTGAGGTGGATGAAGGAGTAGCAGCCCTCGCAGTCTTTGCCCTTCTGGAGGATATTCTTGTCCAGGAAAGGATGGAAGTCAGACTCCTTTACCCCAAGTCTCTCAAGGTCTTCTCCATCAAACATAGATGTCTGTGTCCATATGCCCTCAGCAGCCAGGAGACACAGAGCTGTCACTGGAACTTGGAGGAATGGACCGGGGCAGCTGCCAGGAGGTGATGTGAACTGGCTGCAGAGGAAATGCAGGAACAGTGATGTGATGGTTTGGCAAGTTGGGGCGGGGTCTTCTCCCTTCTCCATCTGCAGTTTCATACAGGTGCAGACGATCCAGCACACAGCAGGAGCTGAGCCCAGGTGGAATAAAGCTGCATTGCTCTTCATCAAGTCAAAAGCTCTCAGTGCTTGGGCCTCCTCTTCAAAGTGTTTCAGGAAATACGCTTTCCTATCCAGCTCTAAGAACCCCTCTATTTCTATGAAGAATGGCTGTTCAACCAAGAGCCCAAGCTCTCTCAGAGCCCCAGGTCGAGTGGTGATCAGCAAAGTGGCCTTGGGTAACATTTTTCTCTTCAGCAAACTCCCCAGGAGGACAGGCACTGGCTTCTGCTTCTGCCAGTCACAACACATGTCATGGATGAGTGCCTCCGAGGGGACTCTCAGCTCCTCGAAACCATCGATGATGAACAGGATTTTCTGAGCTTGGGTGAGGATCTCTGGAACGGCATCCTGCAAATCTGGCCAGTTCTTAGATAGCAGGTCTGCAAAAGAGCACTCCCCCTTGTGGTTGAGTTCCTTGCAGCTGAGATAGAAGGTGGAATTGAATGTCTTTGCGTGGTTGTCCTGTGTCCAATCCACCATCCACTTTTTGGCCAGTGTTGTTTTCCCAACACCTGCAGGACCATGCAGCACGACCGTAAGTGGCATTAGCTGTGTGGATATTTGGGGATTCAAGAATGTTATGAACTTTTGGCTTCTCTGAGTGATACTGTAGTGAAAGTCATCACCATCTCCTGGCTAAAATGTGTTCTCCCAGATAGAAAATTTCTCCATCGTGCTTCTCTCTCTCTCTCGTCTTCACCTGTAGTAATACATAATGGGAGAAAGTTGGGGTGCCAATTATACTCAACTGGAAAATACACTTTGTAAAGGACCAGAAATGAGGAATACCAAGAAGAGGCAAATCATCTTACACTCTACCAGACACCAAATGTATGACTGTAATACAGTATTTATCTACCTGACTTTTCCTACTTCCAAGTCCCCGTCTGCCTTTCCTGACTTAGGGTTATCTATTCTTTGCACTTGTGTGCACTTTGTAAAATACCTATGGGTGAAAGCTTGACCATAGGATTATTTGTACTTCCTAGATGAAACATTATTGTAGATAAAGCAAACTTTAAATATTCAAGTCTTTTATGTATATTCTACTATAATAAAAATAAAAGTTTTAACTATTTTAAAGCATACAATTCAGTGGTATTGAAAACCTTCAGTGTCATGCAACCATCACCACTATCTAGGTCCAAGACTTTCATCATCCCAGATGGACCCCCCAAACCGATTAAGCTCTCACTCCCCATTTCCCCCTTCCCCAGCCTCTGGCAACCACTAATCTGCATTGTGTCTCTGGATAAATTCTGGATTTATTGGGGACATTTCACATAAACAAAATCAAACTCTGTGGCTTTTTGTGTCTTGCTTCCTTCATTTAGCATAATGTTTGAGCTTCATCGAGAGTCTACCATTAAGTCTATATTGCCTTCTTGGTTCACCCAGTTTGACTGAGCAGACTGTGATGTGAGAGAAGCCGAAGGAGTAGACACGCTATTAGAGGTGATTGAATCTGTCAAGTCCATGTGCTATTGAAAAGATTATATACAAATACACCAAATACCTAAGAATAAGTCTATAATTGTGGGTCAGGTCTCTCCCCTGAGAATTACAAGTTTGTAAACGGCATTGAAGTGATCGTCAATAAATGGAGAAATAACATTCATAGAGTTGGACGACCCTATTATAATATCTGTTCTTTCCAAGTTGTTCTACAGTTTCCATGGATTCCCGTTCAAGATACCAGCAGGTTTGGGTATTTGATGAGCTAAATTTAAAGTTCATATGCAAATGCAAAGATGTAAAATAATCCAAACCACTTGCATAAGAACAGTAATGGAAAGATTTACACTGAAAGATGAAGATGAGGGTCTGGATGAGGATGTGATAAAAGGAGCTCAGGGCACAAAATTTAAGATGATACTGACTTGCTCTAACCTCATCCTGACCCTGAATTACACTACCATGTAATAGATCAAAAGATAGGAAACTGGTGTAATGTAAACAATGGACCAACAAACAGAATAGTGAGCTCATAACAGACTCACATCACACAGTCAGCATCTTATAGTTGTGACCCTACAGTGCACAGCCATGGGGAAAGAACAGTCTTTTCAATAAGTGGTACTGTGTCAATCATATATCCACATAAAAGAAAGTCTTATCCCTATGTCACAGCATACACAAAAACTAATCTGAGATTGATTACAATCCCCACTGTGAAAGGCAAAGCAATAAAGCTCATGAAAAGAAAAAGACTACCCCCACTGCTTTGAGGTTGTCAAGATAACGTACTAGCCAAACAATGTCATGGGCCAAATCTGGCTCACCACCTCTATTTTTAGTTATTTCACTGAAGTCACATTGGTTTATAACATTATATAAATTTCAGGTGTACACCATTATATTTTGGTTTCTGTATGGACTGCATTGTATTCACCACCAAAAGTCTAGTTTCCATCCATCACTGTACACATGTGGTCCTTTGCCCCTTTCCCCCTCTCCCCACCTGTTTCCTATCCTAGATGAGTATGTCTGGGTTGGAGCTCAGGCAAGTATGTCTTTAAAAAGCTTTACAAGTTGGGGCTGGCCCCATGGCATAATGGTTAAGTTTGGTGCTCTCCACTTTGGCAGCCCTGGTTCACAGCTTCAGATCCTGGGCATGGACCTACACCACTCAGTCATGCTGTGGTGGCATCCCACATATAAAGTGGAGGAAGTTTGGCACAGATGTTAGCTCAGGTCTGATCTTCCTCAGAAGAAAAAAAAAACCCTCTAGGAGTGAAAAGGAACAAGGCAATGGTATCTGATACACCGTGAATGAACCTCAAAAACACAATGCTGAGTGAAAGAAGCCAGTCAGAAAAGGTCACATATTGAATGATTTAGTTTATATGAAATGTCCAGAACAGGCAAATCCATAGAGACAGAAAGCAGATGAGTGGCTGCCAGGGGCTGGGGGAGAAGGAATGGGGAATGATTGCTAACGGGCAGAGAGTTTCCTCTTGAGATGAGGAAAATGTTTTGAAACTAGAAAGAGGTGATGGCTGCACAACACTGTGAATGTACTAAATGCCACTGGATCACATACACTTTAAAACAGTTAAAATGGTTAATGGTATGTTATGTGTATTTTACTGCAATAAAAATTTTTAAATCTCATAAAAAAGATAAACTAGGCATACAGGTAAAGACTGATAAACCAAATTTGATTTTAAGTTGGGATCTTAGGCTCATTCAAAAAAATAGTATAAAAGCAAAGAGAGGCTGCTAACTGGGAGCATATACGCTCAAAATATGAGTATTTTGAGTTATATATTTCTCTAAGGAATTGCAAGTGTGTATTAAAACAAGATAAGTCAATGAAAATGAATCAAAAGATTGGAAAAGGCCCTTCAAAAAAGAGTGTCCAATAGGTCAATAAGCCTATTGAAAGGCTCTCAACCCCTTTAGACCTCAGAGAAATGCAAATTAAGAACCTAATGATAATGCTGCAAAGAACATAGGGGTGCAACCTGAGTGCCCATCGATGAATGAGTGCATAAAGATGTGGCAAATCTAGAGTAATCAAAACAGCATGGTACTGGCAGAAAAACAGACACACAGATCAATGGAACAAAATTGAGAGCCCAGAAAGAAACCTATACATCTATGGATAGCCAGTTTTTGACAAAGGAGCCAAGACCATACAATGAAGAAAGGAAAGTCTCCTCAATAAACAGTGTGGGGAAAACAGGACAGTCACATGCAAAAGAATGAAAGTAGACCATTATCTTACACCACACACAAAAATTAACTCAAAGTGGATTAAAGACTTTAATGTAAGAACCAAAACATAAAACTCCTGGAAGAAAATATAGGCACTACACTCTTTGACATCGGTCTTAGCAGCATCTTTTCAAATACCATGTCTACTCAGGCAAGGGAAACAAAAGAAAAAATAAATTGGACTACATCAGACTAAAAACTTCTGCAAGACAAAGGAAATCATGAACAAAAAGACAACCCACCAACTGGGAGAAAATATTTGCAAATCATATATCCAACAAGAGGTCCATTTCCAAAATATATAGAGAACTCATACAACTCAACAACAACAAAATGAACAAGCTGATCAAAAAATGGGCAGAAGATGTGAATGGACATTTTCCCAAAGAAGATATACAGATCACCAACAGGCTCATGAAAAGATTTTCATTTCCCTAATAATTAGTGATGTTGAACATGAGATATCATCTCACACCCAACAGAATAGCTATAATTAACAAGACAAGAAATAACAAGTGTTGGAGGGGATGTGGAGGAAAGGGAACCCTCATACACTGCTGGTGGGAATGAAAACTGGTGCAGCCACTATGGAAAACAGTATGAAGATTTCTTAAAAATTAGAAATAGAAATACTCTATATTCTAGTTATTCCTCTACTAGGTATTTACCCAAAGAACATGAAATCAATTCAAAAAAACATATATACCCCTATATTCATTGCAGCACTATTCACAATAGCCAAGAGATGGAAGCAACCTAAGTGCCCATCAACTGATGGATGGATAAAGATGTAGCATATATACACATACAATGGAATCCTACTCAGCCATAAAAAAGACGAAATTGTGCCATTTGTGACAACATGAATGGGCCCCGAGGATATTATGTTAAGTGAAATAAGTCAGACAGTGATTTCACTCATATGTGGAAGGTAAACAAACACATAGATAAGGAGAACAGATTGGTAGTTACTAGGGAGGAAATGGAGTAGGGGAAGAGAGATGGGGTAAAGGGGAAGATATGTGTGGTGATAGATGGAAACTAGACTTTTGGTGGTGGACACGATGCAGTCAATACAGAAGCCAAAATTTAATGATGTACACCTGAAATTTACACAGTGTTATAAGCCAATGTGACCTCAATAAAATTAATTTTTAAGAAGGAATCTAATGATAGAAAAGCTGCCCCATCAAAGTGGTTAAAATTAATGAGACATCAAGCCCCGTTGCATATAATGAAGGAGAAGCCCAACTCTCTTATATCACCTACAGGAGATAAACTGAAAGAAAACCCTGCATTGCCAAACTTGTGGATGGTTTTTACTACAGCAAACCACATACATGTGCTCTATGACACAGCATTTTACTCCTGGCATATACCCCAAATAAGTTAGGGCCAAAGTCTACAAAAGACTATGCACATCTTTTCATAGAACCTTTATTCATCCTTTATTCGCCAAACTGTAGTAGTTAAAGAAACTATGCAAAAAGAACCCTACAACTAAATTGACTCAATTCATACAAAGTTCATAACAAGCAAAACTAATCGATGGTGGCAGTGGTCAGATTAGTGGTGTTTTGACTGAGAAAGACAAGAATAGGCATCTGAAAAAGTTGTCTGTTGACTTCATTAACGATCACATGAGTGTGACTATATACACAAATGTACACCCATGCAATCGCTAACCAGATTAACATCAACTATTAAGAGTTAATATCAATAATTATCAATAATCATGATAATTAATATCTATAACCAGCTAGAGGTTATATTTACATGTACACATATACAAATGCACACACAAATGTTCATATGTTTTTAAAAATTGAGAAAGTGTAGCTTTTTGACTTAGAAGTGACAGAATTAAGTTAAAGGATGAAATATAACTACATGAAATGTTCACTTTATAAATGTAACACCTGTATCTGGATAATTTATTACATTTTTCTGTAACCTCTTTTTAAGGAGCTATTATAACAACTAACATCTGAGTATTTTCTATGTGCTGGGAACAATGGAAGAACTTATCATAGATCACATTTAATCCTTGTAACACTCTCATCAGGTAAACTCTATTGTCTACACTTCAAAGGATGAATCTGGGGCCTAAGCCTCAGTGGTTCTCTAAGTGTGGCCCCCAGACCAGCAGCATCACCTGGGAACTTGTGTAAAATGCAGATTCTTAGTCTCTACCCCAGACCTTTCTAATCAGAAACTCTGGAGATGGGCCCAGAAAGCTGTTTTAACAGACCTTCCAGGTGATTATGATGAATGCTGGTTTCAGGACCACTGATGTAGGGAAATAAGACAGAGGCCCAAGCTCATGCAGCTGCTCGAGTAGAAGCCAAGATTATCATCAAGGGAGTTTAACTGAAGCTCCCGTGCTCTCAGTGACTGGTACACTGCCTCAACCCAACAAATAAAAACCTTCACATCCTGAGGCGTTC